AGGGCAGATAATCACTTTTTAATTTGGTTTTGTAAATCACGCCAGATAACTTTCATGGCAGGATCGCGTGTTATTTGAAATTGCCACCTACGGACATTTTTCAGACGGATCAAGAGCCCCGCTCTATGGTTATTGAAAGTAGAGCTGCTGGGATTACACATTATTTCTTGGGATATATCAAAAGATACTGGAAGGTGATCAGAACCGAAGTCAGCCATGGGTAACCAATTGGCTACAAAGTTGACATGAATCAGTTAAGACCAAATCAATAGTGGAGGGATTTCTTGCTGAAGATAAGTATGTTGGGCTGTTTGGATATTGAATAGTGTAATAACCTGCAGAACAATCATCAAACAGAATATTACCATTGAAATTGCTTATAAATAGTGCTATTCCATGAGCGGTGTTTTGCATTAAAATTACCAATAATGAAGAATTTAGACCTATGACGGGTAAGTTTCTGAAGGTCACGCTTGAGATAATTCTTTTGCTGGCTTACGCAATGGAAATAAGCAGCTATCAACGTAAGTTGTCGAAATTTTGTTTCGACAGAAACTTTCAAAGTCCTTAGACCTTAAGTTCACTAGACTTGAAGTGAACTAAATAAAAATCATTAGAAATCCCGTTTCGCGAATTGTCATGACGGGATTTCATTCTCATTTTGATTATTTGGACTGGCCAAGGGGTGGTCATTCTACACACGTATTTTGCGCCAACTTTTGTCTCAGTGTGCCGGCAGTGCCAAGAGTGTCATCAGATTGAATGTTTGTGTAATGGTATGTTTGGCAACCCGGTTAATTTGACATTTCATATTTTTTATTTTGAAGAAACAAAACAACAAGCAGTGGAATCCTATCCCAGATCCTAACTGTCGCGACTCTCGGTTCGTTGCTCCCAAATTCTCTCGGAAAAGGACTACACTGAACCTAATAAGCAACGGCCTTGGCCTCCGAATCGAAGCTTCGAGCGAGAACGTTCTCCGGGGATGCATGTCCAATTTACGACAGGTGGTCCGAGTGATCATCGATGTCAGTTACGATGAGGAACGAATCATGGAACTAAATGTCGGTTGGCTGATCAACGAAGTGGTCAAGCGTTACGGAATCAAACATGGTAAACGAACACTGATAAAACTACTACGGCCAGATGGCCTTTGTATGGACACCGATCCCTTTACGACCTTCTGTGACTCGGATTTCATAATCAATTCGTATCTTATATAGTTCTAAAAGCTGCGTTCGGACTTCTTCTCCGTCAAGCCTATAGGATTTCCAGCGCAGGGTTACCAGGGTCGTTTTTTAGAGCTAAACTCACCCTTGTCGACTTTCAGGAGCTCACCTTCAAGCCCAACAACTGACCAATCAACAGCTTACAATACCATTTAACCACGTTCGGCTGTGATTTCAGTTCCGTCACGAATCTCCCCTCCCCAAATCGATCTACCAACGTCTTCAACGTTCTCTTATTTCCTCATTCAGGGTCTCGCTCTCCCCATTAACCAACTCACTAATCACATTCCGAATCGGCATGGTCATCTTTTCAATCTTCCGGAACGATGCCACCCCCTTCCCAACTTCGATCAAACTGTTCTGAAACACTATAGCCTTCCGCACCAGATCCTTGAACAGTTCGACCGTCTTGAGTAGAGATTCTCCGATCTCGAAGTCTTCCGGTAGCGACTCCAGTACTATCCGCAAGAATTCCAGTATCACCCCCAGATTGCAGTTGTACTTGGAACGGTCATCGCCTTGATGACCTTGCTCATCCCGCAAGCATACCGCGTTGACTTTTGACCGGTTTTAAGCTAATGTTTTGAAAATATGGCGCTGTTTTGAAACCAAAAATTGAATTGCGTCAACAACAATGATCATCATTTTGACACATGTACAGAGCAGAAATAGTACAGTGTTGCCAGTAACTTTAAATATCATGAAAATGTCTAACAATGTGTGCCAATGAAAGTGCCCAGGTGTGCCCATCTGTATTTTTGACACACGGTGCAGTGTGAACAACCCCTTGGGACTGGCTTAGCTCCAAGTTAATTTGTAAAACCAACGTAAAATGAGCATCAAAAGACAATAACCGTACCTTAGATATCACTCTGTATCACATAAGTATTCCATATTAAAGGGACTCCCTTCTGGAGCCTCTCCCATCTTTCAGAAGTGCCCCCTCCGAACACTTTTTTCCAATTTTCCAATTCTGTAATTTGGGGAAACCCTTTCAGGGGTTCCCGGAGATGAACCAGCGTCTGGCTGAAAATCTCCTTAATAAAGACAACTAACCAACCAACCAATTTGTAAATTCATCTTTGATCTGATCTAGGGTTTCACCACTGGGCAGACCTTTCAAGACAACCTTGAACATATGTTCAGCTTTGCTGTCGTAAGTGCTGCTTCTCAGTTAGATGCTTGAGAAGACGTTTGAATCCATCCAAGGTTCCAGCTAATACACGGCATTCACCCCGATGGCCAATTTGAAGTGAAAACTTGAATTTAACGAAGTTAAAAAAGTTCCTTGCAAAGAGCATGTGTGGGGTTATCACAATAGGGGGAACCTTTTCCTTCTTGGCATTAAGCCGGGAATGTTTAATGGAATATTGCCTGTATTATGGATCATTCTCATCATCCGTGAGCATATCAAATTGATTGCTCAAATAAATTTCATCACAAGGGGGATCAAGAGCTTGCCCTTTTCTTTTGCGTTTAGGCGCCATGGCGGCAGTAAAACATTTCTCCATATCGACTTCCAAGTAGATTACTATAAGAGTTTGAAGCATCGAACAAGAATTTTCCAAGTCGATGTCCAAGGAGGAATACCTCGGGTAGGGTCCAAACAAGAATCGAAGAGGAATAAGTTGTAGCAGTAACACTTCCTTCAGCAAAAAGCAAATAGATTCACACGACAAGAGAGCACGATACGGACTGACCGATTCAGAACGATATTTACTGTTTAATAACAACATTTAACATGTCAGAACCACCGTAATGTAGAGCTGGATTATGTCATTTTGATGGTGAACCTTTGAAAACATGATAATTGGTAGTTGCTTGAACCATTTTTCGAATTCATATGGATAAAATGGATTACATTAATTGGAGTACTTCGAGAATACCATTAAACATATTGATGAAAAACAGATTTTACAGGTTGATAATTATGTAACTCGATCGTTCCTTCAATATCGAGTTCTAGAGGGTAGACTATATTTGTTTGTTGGTTATGATTTCAAACAAAATTTATCACCGGTTTTTGTATGGAATCGTCCCACTGTGCACCAGTTGGTCGTGACCTATAGATCTGCTTGGTTTGATAATTTTCATAGATTTGCATGATACATTCTAACAGGGCTGTGGAGTCCGATTTAAATTGACCTACTTCGACTCATTTGAAATCAAAATACCGACTCCGACTCCAATTCAAACAAAATTCAATCGATATTACATATGTATATGATTTCAGTTCTATCGAGTGAAACATTATTCCAATACATGGGTTGTGTAAAATATTCGGGACTAGCAATCCATGTTGTACAACTTTTAATAATTTTTTTTTTTATATAGAGCGTTTATTTTTTCAGGCTCATTTGCTGTAGCTTTGCGGAGCCAATATTCATTGGTTAGATTACAAAATTACTTAAAACTAACGTTAGTAAAGCGGGGGCCGATAACTCGCGGCTATCTCGCGGTTAGGAGTGACAAATTGTAACAAATGGATGGTAGGGTAGGGATTGTGAACACAAGGTTTGGAGAGCAATGTGCTCTTGATCTCGAACTAAGCGACACTCTGATGAAAAAGACAAACATGGGGGTACATCGATGGGCAGCTAACAACTTGGGAGAACACAAGATGACACTAACTACCAAATCCTCAGATCTATCTGTTTTAAAAACACATAAATTAAATTCAAATAGTCGAGGTCTCGGCTCGCCAAGACATCTCTAACGGGTATCGCGGGTTATTTTCCTCGGGCCCTGAGGGATGTGGATAACTCAGATCTGGCAACACGGTGTAAGATACACAACCAAACAACATGCTCGATATCGTGATAACCACACGCACATAAATTGCTGCCTGAGAGCCCAATTCGATAGAAGTGCGAGTCTAACGAGCAGTGATTGGACATAAGCCTTGATGTAACGCGTATAAAGTCGCGGCTCATGTCCAACCCTTTGAACCATGGTTTGTTCGACACCTGTGGGAGAATAGAATGTAACCATCTTCCCAATTCACCATCATTCCATTTTTGTTGCCAACTGATAAGGACTTGCTGACGAGCAATGGAGAAAAATTCGTTGAAGGCGATTTGTCGCTCAAAAATATCGCCTTCCAATAGCGCCCACCTTAGCCAGCAAGTCCGCTTTCTCATCACCTGGAATTGAGCAATGAGATGGGACAAGTGCCTCAGTTCCATGAATAAATAATGGATTTTGATGAACGTGGAAGCATTCGACGGGAACATTATTGAAATTATTGTAGTTGCCGGAAACCGAAAATGTTCCGCATTTTTTGAGGTTGTGTCAAACGGGATATGGGATTCTGAAATCAAAAACCAGCAAGAAACATACCTTTACGCAACTTCTTCGATATCCCCAAAGTATCAGATTGTTGAGTACCACTTATCGACGGAAATGACCTCAAAGAAATCTGGCCTCACTGGATTCCAGCCTCGTTCAAACAAAGCGCTGAGTTCCGACGCGTCGCAGCTGTTTGCTAGTTTGCGATTCCACCCCAGTATATTTAGGCTCCCATTCACACCTGGCTGGGCAAGCGCAAGTGCCTCGAGGGGAGAACAACAACAACACCCAACAACGCGCTTCGAAAGCACGCACAATGCGAAGAGTAAAAGTAACCCACTTTAGAGCCGTCAATTCATGCACACTTTTTCCCTGCCTTCAGGGCTCTTGACGCTTCATGATGCACACAAACGTGCTTGGTGTCTGCTGCTGCACTCCTTTGCTCAACCAATGCTCATTTTTTCCTCTCTGTTTACGTTCCAGGTTTCGTTCCGGGGGCCACCACGGATAAACAAGTTGCGCTATTCTACGGAAACGGGTTTCCAAAATAAATAAAAAAACCTAATAATGAATTGAAGTTTAGTGAAAAAAAGTGCGAGCGAAAAGTTGTACAAAGTGAAGTTTAAGCCAAGAAATTCGACACAATCAACAAGCATACAAAGTGTAGTGAGTGGTGAGAGCTTTCAGTAGAGAGTTGAAACGAGAAGCACAAATAGGAATGATTTGGCAGTGAGGGGAAAAAAAAGTGAAAAATAAACCGTAAAAGCGTGGCGCCCGTTCCAAACAGAGTCGTGAAGATCCCCAGTATCGAACGGAAAAAAGGTCGTCGTTGGATATTCATATAAGGTGCTCCGGCTCGCGGAAGACACATACTCGGCCGACGTCGTCAACATTAGCCGGATGCCGCCAAACGGCAAAAGCTAACTGTAAGTACAAAATACCGAAAATTGGACCTCAGTCGGTGGGTCGTCGCCGGTGAGCAGCGGCTTCTTGTTTTTGTTGCAGGTTATTTACTGTACATGTTGCCATTTTTTGTCGACATAGGGGGGGGGGGGGATGCGAAGCATGTTTTTGAGCTTGCCGCGGGCAGAGCGGTCCGTAGTGGTGGAATGGAATTAAAACAAATTCAACTCAATTTTCGTTCGCATTTGACACCATCAGCGCCGTGTCCGTGTCTTAGTTGTTTAAATTAAATTAAAGCCACAGGAAGTGCTTGGGAAGTTTTGCGTTTTCCGCTTTCGGCTGTGTGTTTGAAGAGTTTGGGAAAAGAGACGCGTAATAAGTAGGACTTGATGTTTCAGTCGACAATTATCGGGTGCGGTGAGGGAAATTCACTAGGGGAGATGTTTTGTCCGTTGTTTGCTTTTCGTTTGAGTTGGTTATTTCGGCGAATTTTGCAGGATTGAAAGTTATCCGTTTTACAGATTTTTTTTACAGAAATTGAATCTTAAATCAAAAGAAAAAAAGGCTAGAGGGATTTCTTGTGAGGGAGATTCCTTTCCAGAGAAAACCGGTTAGGAATAGGAGTTATAGACTTGTAGAAGTGCCAACTTCATGAAATGATGGGGGGGACAAGATGTTTTTGAAAATAGTTCATTTTACAAAATGGCAGCAGCTCGCCGAATGACGAATCGATCAGACTCGAACTTTTACGGTTTGCATGAAACTTTACGTATTTGTTTGTTATGGGCAATCATTAACATTTTTGCTAAAAATGGATCATTTTGGATCTTGATTTTTTTTTAGATGGTGTATTCGGCATTTTTTTTAATAAATCGTAGCACAAAAATTACCCTTCTAATCAAAATGACGACTGAGACAAAGTTGTAGTTGTAGTTGTTTTCCATCTATGGACGATCATTTTTAAAGTTTTTTTTTTGTTTTTTTTTGTTTTTTTTTTTTACAGTCCGCGCGTGCTCTCTTGCCATGCGGATCTATTTGCTTTTTGCTTAAGGAAGTGTTACTACTACCTAAAGCTACAACAAATTTAAACAGCACTTTTCAGTGCTGAACCTGTAAAAATTTTCTACCTTTTTCAACTCCTCTTATTCCTCTTCGATCCTTGTTTGGACCCTACCCGAGGTAATCCTTCTTGGATATCGATTTGAAAAATTCCTCTTCGATCCTTCAGATTCTTATAGTAATCTGCTTGGAAGTCGATTTGGATAAAAATTTACTGCCGCCATGGCGCCTAAACGCAAAAGAAAGGGGCAAACTCTTGACCCCCCTTCTGAAGAAATTAATTTGAGTAATCAATTTGATTTGCTCACGGATGATGAGAATGATCCATCAGCCAAGAAAAATTCTAGTAAACTTTCCCGGCTTAATGCCAAGAAGGAAAAGATTCCCCCTATTGTGATAACCACTTCCGATTTCCATGCTCTTCGCATGGAACTTTTGAACTTCGTGAAAGTTAAGTTTTCTCTACAAATTGGACGTCGGGGTGAATGCCGTGTATTGGCTGAAACCTTGGACGGATTTAAATGTCTTCTCAAGTATCTTACTGAGAAGAAGCACACATTTTTTACTTACGACACCAAAACTGAACGTGTGTTCAAGGTTGTCATGAAAGGACTGCCCAGTGGTGAATCCCTGGATCAGATCAAAGATGAACTGGCAAAATTACTTGGAGTTGTGCCACTCCAAGTAATCAAAATGAAAATGAAATCCCGTCCTGGCGATTCGCGCAACGGGATTTCTAATAATTTTTATTTAGTTCACTTCAAGTCTAGTGACCTAAACAACCTTAAGGCCTTAGAAAAAGCTAGCCGTATGCTCCATGTCCGAGTGAAGTGGGAACACTTCAGGAAGACTGGAGGAAATTTCCAAAACCTCACTCAGTGCCGTAAGTGCCAGGGATGGGGTCACGGAACTAAAAATTGCTACATGCCAGCTAAATGCATGAATTGTGGTGATTCCTCTCACGCAAAGGACGACTATCCTGTGAAGGAAGATCCTAAGAAATTTAAATGTTCAAATTGTGGTGAAAACCACAAATCCAATTTTTGGGAATGTAAGACTCGCAAAGCGATCCTACAATCTCGTTCTAACCGACAGGTAGGAAACGCTCCACGTTTCCGACCAGGTACAAATTCCTCTGCTGTTAACAACGGTCAGCGAGGAACAAATTCTACATTCGTACCCGTAGGTACAAATATCACCCCTGCTTCAAATGTTTCATCTGTACCTACTCCCCTCGCTGCTAACAATGTTCAGCGAGTTTATGGAGCTACCTATGCTGCTATTGCAGCGGGTAGAAATCAAAATACTAACCAAAGTAATTCTAACGGAAATTTTGACAATTTTGACTTAGGAAGCATTACTGCCCCTAAAATGGAATTTTTACAGAAATCATTAATTGACATGATTTCTGATATGCTTAAATCTAACTCCATGTTTGATGCTATTCAAACTGGAGTAAAATTTGCAAATAATATTGTCATGACTTTAAAATTCAGTAATGGATTTTAAAGCATTAAATATTGTAAATTGGAATGCTCGATCTCTTAAAGATAATGAAGACGAGCTATTTAACTTTTTGAGAGTTCATAACGTGCATATTGCCGTTATAACTGAAACGTTCCTTAACCTGACCATAAGGTTAAGAAGGACGCAAATTACTTGATTTATAGAAATGATCGTCTTGATGGACCCTGTGGTGGTGTTGCCATCATTATTCATAGACGAATCAAACATAAAATTCTTTCTTCATTTGAAACCAAAGTTTTTGAAACTTTGGGAGTTTCTGTTGAAACAAAATTTGGACAACTTACGTTTATAGCTGCCTATTTGCCATTCCAATGCGTAGGCCAGAAAAAGAATTTTCTCAAGGGTGACCTCCAGAAACTTACCCGTCATAGGTCTAAATTCTTCATTATTGGTGATTTTAATGCAAAACACCGCTCATGGAACAATGCTCAAAGCAATTCCAATGGTAATATTCTGTTTGATGATTGTTCTGCAGGTTATTACACTATTCAATATCCAAACAGCCCAACATGCTTTTCTTCTGCAAGAAATCCCTCCACTATTGATTTAGTCTTAACTGATTCATGTCAACTTTGTAGCCAACTGGTTACCCATGCTGACTTCGGTTCTGATCACCTTCCAGTAACTTTTGAAATATCCCAAGAAATAATTTCTAATCCCAACAGCTCTACTTTCAATTACCATAGAGCTGACTGGGAGCAATATCGAACATTTATGGAATATAACTTCGATCCAAACATTCCTTTGCAAACCAAAGATGAAATTAATTATGCTCTTGAATCTCTGACTACTTCTATAGTTGAAGCAAGAGCTGCCTCAGTACCAAAATGCGAGGTTAAATTCGATTCAATTATAATAGACGACGATCTTCAGCTCTTGATCCGTCTTAAAAATGTCCGTAGGAGACAATATCAAAGAACACGCGATCCTGCCATGAAGGTTATCTGGCGGGATTTGCAAAAACAAATTAAAAAGCGATTCTCTGCCCTGAGGAACAAAACTTTTGAAAATAATATTTCTAAATTAGACCCGAGTTCCAAACTCTTTTGGAAACTCACAAAAATTTTGAAAAAACCTCAAAAGCCTATTCCAGCGCTTAAAGAAGGTGGTAAAATTTTGATCACAAATTTGGAAAAAGCTCAGAAACTTGCTAAGCAATTCGAGAGTTCCCATAATTTCAGTTTGGGTCTTACTAGTCCTATTGAGAATCAGGTTGCTCGGGATTTTCTGACTATTTTCTCTCGGGAAAATATTTTTGATGATTCCTGGGGGACTGATTTGGACGAAGTAAGGTCTATAACTAAAAAGTTTCAAAATATGAAAGCTCCAGGTGATGATGGAATTTTCTATATCCTCATAAAAAAACTCCCAGAGAGTACCTTGTCTTTCTTGGTAAAATTATTTAACAGATGTTTCCATTTGGCATACTTTCCTGATAAATGGAAAAATGCAAAAGTTGTTCCAATTTTGAAGCCGGATAAAAATCCAGCTGAAGCTTCTAGCTACCGCCCAATAAGTTTGCTTTCTTCAATAAGTGGTATACCCCTCACCATCCCTCTCCAACGGGGAAGTTTGGTAAAGAGAGATGATCAAACCGATTTGTACCTTCCTAAAAATTTTACCTTGCTCGCTTTCTACTCTCTAAATACAATTTTCACACTGCCGTACTGCCACGGAACTATCAACTCTATACTTTCATCTTCTCATTTATCGTATAAAAACTACCACTTTAGTCTGTTATTTGAAATTAGCATCTTCATCTATTTACTGCAAACTTAATTATGATATGGAAACAATTCTGACACTACTTCTTATGATCACTCAGGGGCTAGGAAATCTCTTATATGTTAATCAATTATTCAATTAATAAAAAAATAATTCTAAGAAGAATTCCCAGGGGATATCAATAATAATTCCAAGAGAATCTAATGCTGAACATAACTGAAAAAACTACAAGGGACAGCCCCATGGGGTTGTACGCAATGGTGACGTAGGACTACGTGGTCTTATATAATAAACCTTATTTTGTTGTGTACTGGAGAAGACCACCACTAACCACGCGGTGATTGAATAACATCGTTTGGTGAGACCGGATGGAATTCAACTTTGAAATCTGTGTTAGGAAAATCGCTTTTCGCATGCAATCGGTGATAATTTTAATTATCATAACAACATTAAATTAGTCTATTGCTATGAGTGGGCTCCCAGTTACATGTGTATGTCCGTGCAATGGAACGTTCCATTTCGCTTGTGCGGCACTCACTAAAACTGCGGCGAGGCTTATAGCAGATAATGCAAATGTTCTGTTCAAGTGTGATAGTTGTCTATCAGATCAAAGTTGTGACGAGCAGAATGATCTGATCTCGTGCGTCAAAAGGACAGAGGAAGAGATGAATAAGGTTTTTCAACTCTCGGACTCGATCACTGGCGAGATCAC